CAGAAGCGATGACGTCGGGACCGTCCTGCTGCAGAAGCGATGACGTCAGGACCGTCCTGCTGCAGAAGCGATGACGTCAGGACCGTCCTGCTGCAGAAGCGATGACGTCAGGACCGTCCTGCTGCAGAAGCGATGACGTCGGGACCGTCCTGCTGCAGAAGCGATGACGTCGGGACCGTCCTGCTGCGGAAGCGATGACGTCGGGACCGTCCTGCTGCGGAAGCGATGACGTCGGGACCGTCCTGCTGCGGAAGCGATGACGTCGGGACCGTCCGGCTGCAGAAGCGATGACGTCAGGACTGTCCTGCTGCAGAAGCGATGAAGTCAGGACCATCCTGCTGCAGAAGCGATGACGTCAGGACCGCCCTGCTGCAGAAGCGATGACGTCAGTACCGCCCTGCTGCAGAAGCGATGACGTCAGTACCGCCCTGCTGCAGAAGCGATGACGTCAGGACCGTCTTGCTGCAGAAGCGATGACGTCAGGACCGTCTTGCTGCAGAAGCGGTGACGTCAGGACCGTCCTGCTGCAGAAGCGATGACGTCAGGACCGCCCTGCTGCAGAAGCGATGACGTCAGGACCGTCCTGCTGCAGAAGCGATGACGTCAGGACCGTCCTGCTGCAGATTTATTTCTTTTTCACTTTCGGCACCTTGTTTTTGTATTTTTCTTGCATGCTTTGGTTTGGCTGCGCTCAGCCGAGCGGCAGCTTCACAGGCGCTCGGTGAAATCCCAGTTTATGTTAGTTTTGGGGTCGGCTCCGAGCCCGACTCCGCTCACATTAAGCATGTGAACTACAGCTGAACCGAACTTGTGAGAATCGTGCTGCTGTTCTTCGGTGTAGTGTTTTCCACTATCAGTGAAAAGAGGAAAAACAGTGGGGAGAGATTGTTTTGGGCCGGGCTCACCCTGAAGTTGGTAAGACTCCACAAAGACTGTAAATAAAATCACTGTTCTATCATATAAGCCTGACTTTGTGGCTGCTTGAGCGGTGCAGAAGGTGGACTGAGTCAAAAAGTTTGCCCCCCCGGTCTGAACATACCTCTTCGCCCCGAACATGGCAACCTACTCCCCGTGCGTGTAACTCCAAGTTGGATTGATGGAGTGAATCCGAGAGCCACGATTATCTCTTTGAAAATATTTCGCTTTTATAAAATATATATAATAATAATCACAGATGCAGTTTCAGCTCATTCAGCTAATTTTAGCTAACGCCTCAGCAGCCATCAGTCATGTAAGAGTTTCTGGTTTGCACTAATCCGCAGGTTAAATGTCTTACCTGTGGGGGTTTTGTTGGCTTGGTTCTGTACACTCACCGTCCTGTCCATTTTTTTACGTTTTTCCTACAAACTCCTTTCGGCTGATATTTTCCTGAACTATTTCTAACCTGAGCCGGCTTGTTGCTTCCGGTTCGTCACGTGGTCCTGAAAACGCGGTTATCTTAGGTTGTAATTTGTCTGCCTGACTAAAATATTTTATTATATATTTTATTAATTAAGCATAAAAATATTTCAACGTATTTTACTCGAGCTGTTAGAGTAAAAAAACATATAACATTCGTAGTCACAACCATTTTTAAATGGGGAATTTTAAATACTTGATTTTTAAACAGGCACAAGTCTGGAATCTTTTTTATTTGTTTGTTTGTCATTAAACAGTACAAATACAACTTCAAACAAAGAAGAAAGAAAGATAAAGCTATAAAGGAGACAAATTAAACAAAAATAAAATCAGACAATCGAGTTCGTTCAGTGTTCATGAGAGTTAGAGGTTTTCCATGAGATTAAGGTCCTTCACCATCCTGCAGAGATCCTCAGCAGCATCAGCAGCATCTTCTCATGTGTTTCAGAGATGAGAAGAACAGGCACAGTTCTCTGTGAAAGGCAACTACATTTGGTCTAGCTTTAAGAAATATATTCTTGTGAATAAAAAACTTCCCTAGAATGAAAATAGTGTTAATCATCAGATCAGGTACAGAGTTTTTTGCGATAAAAGCATACAGGACATTTTCAATTCTGGAATCTGTAATTAATTTAGACAAGCAGTGATGTAGATCATCCCAAAAGGCATCAGTATATATACAATCATAAAAAATGTGGTGGCAGCTAGTTCGTTACAAAATGAACAGTTAGTACATTCAAAGCCAAAGCGCTTACATAGAAAGTCAGCAGAGGGATATATTCTATTAATAATTCTGAAATTAATCTCTTTTTTTAGTTACAACGAGGAATTTATAAACTGTTGATCTTAATTGTTCAGCATCTTTTCTGGAGAAGGAATTTAGAGTTGTGTTTGGGGAAGAGGAGCAGGGATACAGCTCTCTGTTAAATATGAAACGAACAGTTTAGTTTGGAGTTCAAAAGATTTAGATTATTCACTAAAAGCAGGGGAAGGTTCGTGTTTGGAACATTTTTATATAAATTAGATGTCATGATTATTATAGCTTGAAGTACTGCATTAATCACTTTCTTATTTTGTTTTTTATCAGTCAAGTTCAATTTGGAACTAAAATTCTCAAACGTTATAATCTTCCCTGTTGAACTGAACAAGTGTAAAACAACCGTACGCCTTTATCACTAGTTCTGTAGAAATATAATTTAGGGTTATGTAATATATATGTGCAGTTCAGAGTGGGGCGTTGTGGGACTGAAGTTGTGTTTTAAATCATTTTCCAGTTCAGTAAAACCTGTTGATGAAATGATGAGAGTTTATGGAGGAGCTTTTTTGGGTCATAGTCACATTTGAGAAGAAATTCAATGCCGCCTCATTTCTTGAAGATTTCATTAGGAATATAAAACCAGAACTTTTGTTGGTTTTTAACATCAACCAATTTATTTTAATTGTGCCGTCAATACATTCAAAGCCTCTTGCCTTAAGACCTCCATCTTTGTATTCTTGTGTCATAGAGCCTTTTTTAATATAATGTGTTTTCCTTTTCCAAATGTAGTTGAAATTTGCTTGATTTAGAGCTTTAATTGCAGTTTTATGAATTAATAATGAGTAGGCAGGGGAGATGAAACAAGAAATACATTCATGTTTGTAAGAAAAGTGCGGCCTGTGATTGAAATGTCTCAAGAGTTCAGATATGTTTGGCTTCTTTCCAGATGGTTCCAGATGTTGAGTTTAGTTAAAGGCTCCATGTCTTTAGTTATGTGTATGTCTAAGTATTTTATATTGCTTTTAATAGGAATGTTGTGAATGCTTGATTGGTCAGAATTATGAATAGGAAGTAATTCACATTTGTTCAGGTTTAATTTTAGTCCAGATGTTTTAGAGAAAAAATCTACTGTCTCGAGGATTATAGGGAGTTGGTCTGAGGTTTTTTTTTTTTTTTTTTTTTACAAATATTGCAACATCATCAGCTAATTGTTAATTGTTGACACAACACTGTTGGTTTTTCAAAATTCAATTGTTTGATGAGGATAGACATCAATTCAGCTGCTAAAATAAATAATAGGGTGAAATTGGACTTCCCTGTTTAACATCTTTGCCAATGAAGAACCTGGGAGATGTACCTTGTGCTAATAGAACTGAACTGTTTGTGTCCTTGTAAATTAATGTTATTATATTTAAGAATTGTTTCCCCAATCCAAAAAGTTCTAAGGTTCGAAAGATAAATTTGTGTTCGATCATGTCAAAAGCATTAAAAATGTCCAAGAATAGAATAAATCCATCATCTTCTATTAGATTATAATCCAGTAAATCCAATATAAATTTAATGTTGTTGTGAATCGAGCGTCCTTGATGAATCCAGATTGTGTCTGAAATAATGTCCGTAATACCACATTTAAATCTGTTTGTGAATATATGAGTGAGTATTTTGTAATCACTGTTTAATATTTTGTAATCATTAATAGAGTTATGGGACGGAGGTTGTCAATTATTTTTGGGTCCTTGTTAGTTTTGGGAATTAGGGTTATGACTCCTTGTTTCATTGTAGTAGGTCAGATAAATATTGTGGATATTTCTTTTAGCATATTAAATATTAAGTCTTTTAAATGAGTCCAGAAGTGTTTATAAAAGTTACTGGTTAGAACATCTGGGCCTGGACATTTGTCTAAGACTAAACAATTCAACGCTTTTTCTACTTCTTCCGTTCGGATTTCTGCATCACATATATTTTTAAAACTCGTCCACAATGAGATCTGTTCTCCGACTGATTTAAAAAGAGATTCAACATCTGTATGAGAGTAAGAAGAGGAGAGCTTCAGCATCTGTATGAGA